TTCCAAGCTGTTCTTAGAGGCAATCCAATGTAGTATTGAGTTTGTCAGGTGCACAAGGTTCCTATCACAGAAGTTTCCTGGTCCATGTCGTGCTGTAATTGCTCTGGTGGGTTCTGCTGGAAGAGCACTCTTGGCCAAGACTCACACCTGTTTTTCTTTCTTTCTATCAGTGTGATGTAGATCTAGGAAGATATACAGATAATAGACCAACTCTTCAGGTTGAGCCTGATCCCCTCAAGAGCAAGTGTCAGGATCAAAGTTAATTGACTCCCATAAAGTAGAAATTTGAATTATCAGTAGGATTTCATCTGACCTGGTTTGCCCCATGTACACCCCTGCAACTGCCAGGTACCAATTCAAAACTTCACTAACTCTAAGTCAAGCCTTGCAATATTCCCTCCTGGGGCAATCAAGGCCTTAGTGCTCTCCTTTCATGATTACCAAGAGAAACGTTGTCATTCCGCACATTGCAGGCATATTGGAAAAGCTCAGGAGGATCTTCACCGAACATAACATACGTGCACACTTCAAATCCAAGAATACACTAAGGCAGAAGCTTGTCCACCCCAAGGATAAAACACCCAGACATAAACTGAGCAACGTGGTATGTACAGTACAATGCAGTGAACCATGTGCAGATCTGTACATTTGGGAAAGAAAACAACCACTTCATAAATGCATGGCACAACGTAGGAAAACAAAAACATCAAGACGATGTGTTTAAAAGACAAAGGCCACTCTTTTGAAGATGTATTTTGTCCATATTTTGGACAGAGAGGACCCCTGGTTTGAACGAGGGGTCAAAGAGACCATCTATGTCAAAATTGAATAGCCCTCTATCAACAGAGGGGGAGGGCTATGATGTCATCCATCTCCAATCTACAACACAGTCCTTTCAACAGTTCCAACAGCTCCACACCATTTTGCACCCCTCAGGTGACCCTGATGACACAGAAAACCTCCAGGTGAACTTAACAACCCACTAAAAGAATGCAAATATCCAGCTATCTGCACGGAGTATAAATCCTTCCATTCCCCATCATCCAGGAAGCTTTGAAGAAGCTTCTTGGGTGAGAAGTGAAATGCCCTCAAAGAAAAACCAGAAAGTCCAGTTGCCTCTTGAAAAAAAGCACCTTTGGGACAATAGAAACTACACACTGAAGTGGGAGTTATTTATAAATAACCATATAGTAATGCTTGCTACTTCCAGCTCTTGATGGTAGTTTAGGAAGGTACCACAGTTAATTGTCTTGAATGCTATCAAGGAAACTAACAGGATCAGGAGAGATGCATTACTCCCATCTCCATTAGAGTGGACAATGCAGTTTCTTTCCTATGACCAAGATTTAAAGTAATGAAGATAAGTCACTTCTCCTGGAATCCTCTATAACAGGAACATTTTCTTAACAATTTTTCCTAATATTGGAGATTAGTGTAAGGTTGGAGAATAAGTGAAAGTTCTCACGTACAGCTGGAATAAGGAATGTTCCCTTTAAAAGAGAGACCACCATGTTTCTTTCATGACAAGGCAAGTGGCATAACTTTCCCTCAGAGAAACCTTAACTATATCTTGAATCCAGTCACACATGTTCCACCTGTAGGAGCCAGAAAGGGCCTGGATGCAGATCACCAGAGGCAGAGCTCTCGCTTTAGACAAGTTCAAAGAAATCTTGGAATGAACCACTCATCATAATATACTGCTAACACCTGCACATTGTAGAATGGCAATATAATATCCAAGCCAAATATCTAGGGCGTAAAAAGGAACTCTTTTCCACTCAAAGTTGAAAACTGAAGTAGCTTTGTACTCATTCCAAAAGGCAGAGTGAGTTTTTCTTGATCCTTTGAATGTACTGTATATGTAATTCAAGTGTGGAAATGCTATATTATAGCCTTACCTTTATGCTGGGGACAGTGTTTTCCATAAGGAATTCTGATTAACTGAAGATAATAGCCATCATCAGTCAGAACTTGATATTCTTCGCTGGGATACCCCCAATATTGGGTGATTTCAGGCTGTAAAAGAAATAAATTCTTACTCAATATATAAGGTGCACAGCTATTCTCAGTAAGTTGAAGTTGACTTCAACTTTTAGTGAGTTTTAGTGAGATAGTGGTACTGGGAAAATTAATCCAGATGGAACAGGCAGAAATTATAAATGCAGAGCAATTAAAAGCTACACCGGATCTGCATGTTAGATCGCAAACAGACTGATTAGAATATAGCACAATTAGCTGACATTGGGTGGGTGTAGTAGCAGATCTTTTGTTGATTTGCTGCTAAAATTTGTATGATATGATTCATCCTAGAACAATGGGTGGAATGAGTGCTCTGCTCAATGAGTTA